GACACACAGCCTAAAACGTATGTATGCAGCTGAGGATGGCTGTTTAATACTGCTCATCTCAAGAAGTATTGAGCTGGACAAGGCACTCTGAAGAATCAGGAAGGGGACAAAGTGGGACATGACCTTCCCCAGGCTCCTTCTTCTGTTTAAAACTGAATCATACTCCTTTTAAAGACAGGGAACATTCATCCCCCTTTGCTCCTGCTTTCCCAGCATAATTACCAATAGGCCTTTTTACAGTCCAAAGGGTCTGGGATGAGAAATCACTCGACCATCTTCCTCGTGAGCAGTGTTTGTGGTCAAACTCAAGAGTGAGTTTTCTAAAACAATGAGAAGACCTTGAATAGACAAACCACCCAAATTCTGAGATATTTTCCTGACAATTTCAGGATTCTAAGTCCTACTTTACCTCTTTATTTTATTTTATATTTGCTAGAGGGCATGTGTGCTCACTGGAGAGAGAGAGAGAGAGAGAGACAGGGAGAGGGAGAAAATTCCCCTCAGTGGGGGAAGGTCACACTATAATCCCTTCTCCATTTCTCCATAATGCTGAAATTTCAGGTGTGCACACATGGACACGGGCCCAGTGTGGTTTTCAAACTGCCATGACTGGGATTCAAGTTCACATAACCACTAGATTGCAGTGGTTTCCTGTCTCTTAAATAGTCACATATTTGACCAGAAATCAGCACTGGATTTCATTAATCCATTAATTGTTTACATGTAAAAGAGTCTTATTTCTTCAATTAGATGAATACTTCATTGAAAATGGAATTTTATACCAGCTTTATGTCCCTTTCAAATATAGTATAGTAGGGGGAACCGGCAGTTGGCGTAATGGCTATGTCGCTGGACTCCCATGTAGTCGACCGCGGTTCGTGTCCCGGACCCGGTGGCTTAAAACTCACGCCAGGTGCGTGTGCGTGCGTGCCCAAGATCCCGAGAGGAGAATGGAGGAGAAGGGATTGCGGCGTGACCATCCCCCCTGGGGGGTGATTTCTCGCTTTCTGTCTCTATGTCTGTCTGTCTGGCAAGCGCACACGCCCTACAGTGAAAATCTCTCAAAAAAAAAAAAAAATAGTATAGTAGGCATTATGTGTTAGTCTCTCACTAAATAATTTTTAATTTTTTTTAAAGAGAGCTGTTTTGCCATAGAGTACATGTGCTTACCAGAGAGACACAGAGAGAGAAAGTGAGAAATCACCCCCCCCACCCCCCGCCAGGGGAAATAGCCATGCTGCAATCCCTTCTCCTCCCTTCTCCTCTTGGGATTTTGGAACACATACACATGCACCCAGTGTAAGTTTCAAGCCTCTGGGTCCAGGACTCGAACCATGGTGGGCTATGTGGAAGTCCGGCAACATAATCACTTTGCCATTTGCTGACCCCGACAATTTTAAACTTGTAATAACAGAGAATTTTATGCTAAATTGAAGATCACACTGGGCCATTACAATAACGTTATGGAACTTAAGACAATCACTTGGAGCTCTTTGAGAAATAATTCTTTTTGTGTTTGCTACAGGGTGTATATGCTTACCAGAAAGAGAAGGAAAGTGAGAAATTATCCCCCAAGGGGGATGGCCACACCACAATCCCTTCTCCTCTCAGGCTTTTGGGGACTCATGCACATGTGCTTGTTGTGTTTTTCAAATCACCAGGTCCAGGACTCAAAACCGCAAGGTTGGCCATGTGGGACCCAGCTGTTTTAACTACCATGCCATTGGTCAACTCAAGGAATAAGTCTTAATAAAGTCAGGAAGATCCCAACTGAGGGATTATTGCTTGAGTAGGGAGCCTGAGAATAACATACCATATATTATTATGCCACTGACATGGCTTCCATACACAGTAAGACACTCAAGTAAGAAGATCTATTTTGTCTTGGCTCTTCCAAAAACTGAGCTCTGTTTCTTTGCAAAAATCACTTGACCTTCCTAAGCACTAGGATAATAACACTATCTTCCTGTCTTCACGATTATAGGCAACAATAAGAAAATACACATAAGACTCCTTGAAAAGTCTACAGAAATATGTTTAAACATGTATTCAGTGTTTATGGAGGGCTGTCTACACATGCCAGGAACTATGTCAGACTGTGGTGTTACAAGCATGAATTGCTATAATCTTTGACTGGAATAGTGTATAATTTAGAGAGAGAAATCTCTAAAGAAGAATTATAGGACTGAGGCGCAAACAGAAAGAGAAGGAAGAGCACTTCAGTACGCTTCAGGAGCCTGACAGGGCTTCAGTCAAGGAATCAGTGCCGGAACCAAAACATAGGGAGGCAGATAAGGGCTGGGACCAGGGAACAAAAAGGAGCGATCCAAGGACAGTGAGCAGACTCCAGGGAGACAGTGAAAGACGGACAGGAATGAGGCTGGTAAGAGAGGCAAAAGACAAATGAGGAAGGGCCTCCCATGCTGCAATGTCACTCTGCAGTAAGGAGCTACTGAATCAATCTGAGGAAGTGAAAGACATTCCGGAGGGTTGGAAAGTAGGACGGGGGTAACCTGGCGTTGTGACTGGACCCACATGGGAAGGTTCTATGTGTACGGTGGAGACCTTCGCGAACATGCAAGGGACACGCAAACCCCGGACTTGGGGCTGGGGTGGATGGTGAAGATCTGTTGACGATCTGTTGTCTCTCTGTCTCTCTCTTTCTGTTTTCTCTTGCTCGTGGAAGAAAAAACTTTTCTTAAAGTCAGATTGGTAAGAAAGGTTCCTCAGTAGTTACCCGCTTCGTCTCCTCCAGCCCATCTTTAGCTGTCTTCTTTAGATAGACTGTACCAGGGTAAGCCCTGTAGCACAGTGGTTAAGTACAGTCCATGACAAACCAGATCCCACACGGCTGAGCGTGGTTTGACTCCATTCCTGGAGGCTGAGAAGACACTCTGGGTGTGTGAGCATGCATGCCCCAAACCCTGATGGGATGGAGACATGGAAGGAAAAGGACTGTGGCATGACCAAGCCCCACTGGGAGGTGCTTCCTCTTTCTGTTTCTGGAGAGCACATGTGCTCGCTGGCAATTACGGAGGGAAAATAAAAGACAGATGAGCTGTAACAGACGAGACTGGAGGCAGGAGCCCAGACCAAGAACGAATTCCAGAACCAGGGCAGTGTCACCCAGGATCATAGGGAGAGGCGCATGTAAACAGCATAGAGAAGTAGAGGAGCGGGAACATCAGGAGCAGAGGGCCTGGATGTCTGGGGTGCAGAATGGGAAAAAGTGTGAGAAAGATGGGTGTTGAGGTGACAGAGAGCTGAGAGAAGTTTTTAAGTAGACAGATAAATGTAATTAAGCCAAACCACCCAGTTTCTGAACCTGGTTCTGCCAATTACTTGGGTGATCTCAAAGAAGGCATTTGGGGTCCCTATGCCTCAGTTATCTAGCCTATAAAACAAAGCTGATAGTAATACTTACCTCCTAGGAGTGTCATAAAGATGAAATGAGTCAAAAATTTATACAGCGTAAAAAACAGTTATTATCACCATTACTCACAAATAAATTTAAGATGGGACACAATTTAAAATTAAGAGGCTGAGCAGAGAGATACAGGGCAGACCTGAAGATATGAGAAAGGAAATAAAATCTGGGACAAGATCCAGAAAAGGGACAAGAGGTGGGTGTAGTGGGTGTTGAGGTAAGAGGCCAGATGAATGGATTAGCCTAAGAAAAAGGCACGGTGATCCATTCTGAGATCAGAAAAACAAAGAGACAAGGGTGAGGATGTGGAAGCAGGTGGGCAAGAAGAAGGGACTCCAATGGATGGCCGCCATGTTCTAGATGAAAGAAGGAGGGAAGCTCTGTGACAACAGAGCTGAGGGTACATGGCAAGGGAGAGGAGCTGGCCTTGAGAAAAGTGAGAAAGGTCTGGAAGTATCCCTTGCAGGAAGGAAAGAGCTGATCAGTATGAGGGCAGAGGAGAGGTTAGGTGTTAAAAATATGTACTGCCACCAATTGATAGCTTTGTGATTTCTCTAGCAGAGCTTAGTTTGGAATGAAGACATTAAATTGGACTGGTCAAGAATTTAGGATTTAGGGAACCAGCAGTTAGTGTAATGGCTATGTCGCTGGACTCCCACGTAGTCGACCGCAATTCGTGTCCCGGACCCGGTGGCTTAAAACTCACGCCGGGCGCGTGTGCGTGCGTGCCCAAGATCCCGAGAGGAGAATGGAGGAGAAGGGATTGCGGCATGACCATCTCCCCTGGGGGGTGATTTCTTGCTTTCTGTCTCTATGTCTCTCTCTGTCTGTCTGGCGAGCGCACGCACCCTACAGTGAAAATCTCTCTCAAAAAAAAAAAAAAAAGAATTTAGGATTTACAGAGAAAAAGTGGCTATACAGAAGATCAGAGGAGCTGAAGATGCTCCTAAGAGGATGGAGCTAAAGTCACACAAAAGGGGATATAGGTTGGGACAGAAAGTGCATGCAAGCATGTACCACATAACGGCATTATGGCCAACAATGGATGGCATCTAAGACAGTGGTCGCAAAAGGCTATACCATCGAGGTTTATGTAAATATATCCTACGATAATCACACGATGACCAATCACCTAATGATGCCTTTTTCAGGATAGACCTCTATACAACGTATGACTACATATGTAGATTTGGGAAAGGGGGGGAAACTAAATTACTTCGGATGACGATAGGATTAAGGAGTAAGCAACTAAAAGATCTGGGATAAGCTGCACAGCAGACATGGTACTAGAATTAAGATCTAGAGGTAGAGTGTATGAAGGTGGGGTCCAGGGACTGATGGTGGTCCACAGGGCAGCACAGTCAAGATCTGAGTAGGTTAAGGAATAGGAAGCAAGTATGTTAAATGGCTATGTGGAAGAAACTTTTGCATAAGATTCCTCATATAAAAATAATTCCTTTCATTGTATTTGATAAGTTGAAAATGCAAATTCGACTGAAATTCAAGACAAATTAAGAAAAAAATCATTCTGAATTCTGCAGAATAAAAAGCCAGTAGTTACTCAAATACTCACTATAAAGCGATGAAGTCCGTAGTACAATAGAATATCTGCTAAGGTAAAATTGTATCCTGTAAGGTAGACTTTATCTTCAAGATAGGAATTAAGATCCTAGGGAAAAAAAAAAAAAAAAAAAAAAAACCAAATAAATAAGATAGGAATTTAAAAAACAGGAATAACATAGTCAAGTATGTACTATGTGTCTTAAAACATTTAGGAGACTATTAGAAAATAAAATACTGACATTTAATTTGATAAAATAATCTTTCATATTAATATAGATTCTTTCAATGGGGCCATTAGGTGACATGGTCATTAAGGCGCTGGGCTCCCACATGGCTGACCACAGTTCAGGTCCTGGACCCAGACCCAGTGGCTTGATAATCATGCCGGGTACATGTGCATGTCCAAAATCCCAGGAGGAGAGTGGAGGAGAGGGGTTGTGGTGTCATCATTTCCCTGGGGATAGTTTCTCACTCCCTGCCCCTTCTCTGATGAGCTCATTCAAAAATCACAAATTATATACCAAAACCTCATTTTAAAAAATAGGATAAAAATTAGTCTTACTTTACTTTAAATAAGAATACATTAGAAAATGATATTCAAAATGCCATCTATGATCATTTCAGAGTCCAGTTTGTTTTTGGAAACATTTTGCAAATCATGTTCATGCTTTTTAATTAATGAATATTAAAAGCTCAATGATTTCCAACTCTTCAGAGAATTCCAAATCATTGATAACGTGGCACTTATATATATGTATGTGTGTATTTTAAGCATTTTAACTGTGATATAACATACATAACACAAAATTTATCATCTGAACCATTTTTAAACATACACTTCGGTAAGAGTTAAGGATATTCACATTGTTGTACAACCCATCTCCAGAACGTTTTACCTTGTCAAACTAAAACTCTATACTCAAGATAACTTCCCATTTCCCCTTCCCTCCATGCCTTGGCAACAAGCATTCTACTTTGTTTCTATGAACTGAGTACTAATAGATACATCGGGTAAGTGGTATTATAGAGTGCTTGTACTTTCGTGACTGGTTTCTCTCAGGATAATGCCAAGGTTCATCCATGTTGGAGCAGGTGTCAGAACTTCCTTCCTTCTTAAGGCTGAATTATATCTCACTGTATGCATAGGCCACATTTTATTTACCCATTCATTTGTCAAAAGATACCTGAGTTGTTTCCACCCCTTGGCTACTATGGATAACGCAGCTATGAACAAGAGTGCATAAATATCTTGAGAAGCAGAACTGCTAGTTCATATGGTAATTCCATTACTTGCATTGAGAGTTTATTTGCATTTCCCTAATGACTGGTGATTTATCTTTTTTTTTTTTTTGAGAGGTTTTTGTTATAGGGCACGTGCGCTTGCTCTGCAGAAAGACAGAGAGACAGAGGGAAATCACCCCCTGGGGGGACGGCCACTCTGCAATCCCTTCTCCTCTTTCTCCTCTCGGGTTCTTAGGCATGTGCGCACACACATGCCCGGCGTGAGTTTAAGCCACCTTAAGCCACCAGGTCCAGGACTCAAACCAGGGTTGACTATATGGGATTCCAGTGACATATCCATTATGCCAACTGCTGGTCCTGATTTATCATCTTTTCGTATGCCTGTTGGCCATTTGTGTATTTTCTTTGGAGAAATGAGTATCAAGTCCTTTCCTCATTTTAAAATTAGATAGTTTCTTTGTTGTAGAGTTGTAATTCTTCATATATTCTGAATACCAAGCTGTTATGAGATATGATTTGCAAATATTTTCTCCCATTTTGTGGGCTGCCTTCCCCTCTGCAGTTTGTGTCTTTTGATGTAAAAAATATTTTAATTAATTTTCCTTTTGTTGCCTGTGCTTTCAATGTAAAATCCAAGAAATTATTGCCAAATCCAATGACTGAAACTTCCTCCCTCTGATTTCCTGTTTCATGGTTTTGGTCTTACTTTTAGCTCTTTGACCCATATTGAGTTAATTTTTGGACATGGTGTCAGATAAGGGCTCAATGTCATTCTTTCATGTGTAGATATCCCGTTTTCCCAAAATCTTACAGACTGTAGTTTTAAAAGCCACTTAAAGCTAAAAAATTACTGTTATCTATTGTCCAGACAAGAGCCATCAATTTTTAAAAGGTATGTTAAGTACATGCAAAAAAATTTCATTGTGGGACCAGCAGTTAGTGTAATGACTATGTCGCTAGACTCCCATGTAGTCGACTGGTTCAAGTCCTGTACCCAGTGTCTTGAACTCACGCCGGGCATGTGTGCATGCATGCCCAAGATCCCAGGAAGAGAATGGAGGAGAAGGGATTGCGGTGTGGCCATCCCCTCTGGGAGGTGATTTCTCACTTTCTGTCTCTCTGCCTCTCTCTGTCTTTCTGGCAAGCGCATGAGCCCTATAGCAAAAACCTCTCCCCCCCAAAAAAAATGTGTAAACTGGGGACAGCAGGTGGCATGGTGGGTAAGGTGCTGTGACTCCCACATGGATGACCGGAGTGCAAGTCCTGGACCTGGTGGCTTGAATTTTACACTGGGCATGTATGGGTGTGTGGCTAAAATCTCAGGAGAATGAAGAAAAAAGAACTGTGCATGGCTATACCCCCTGGGGGATGATTTCTCACTTTCCCTCTCACTGTTTCTCTCTGTCTCTCCAGCAAGCACACACGCCCTATGGCAAAACCTTAAAAACAAACAAACAAACAAACAAAACCCCCCTAATCTGAAAATTTGATATTGGAAATGGTCTAAAATCTGAAACTGTCTGAGTTCTGACGTGACACCACAAATGGAAAATTCCATACATGACCTCAGGTGAGGGCAGTCAAAATACTGCAATACACTGTCCCATAGCAAAGCAGTTAAGCACTGTGCAGGGGAAGCCATATGTCACATGGCTGACCAGGGTTGTAGTCCTGGCCCCGATGTTTTGAAAAGCACACTTAGAAGGCATGCATACATGCTCAGGCTCCATACAGGCAGAGAACTTGAGAAAAAAGGATTACAGCATGAACAGGCCCCCATGGGGAGGGGTTGTTTTCTTTCTCTTCCTCTCACGTGTTCCTATGCACTCACCTACGGCATCAAAACCAACCATAACAAAAAAGTTACAATACAAACGTACAAAGGTACTTTTAGATCATACATACAAGGTGTATATTAAACATAAATGAATTTCATGTTTACATTTGGGTCTCATCCCTAAGATCTCTCATTATACACATTCAAATACCCTAAAATTTGAAAACATCTGACATCTGAAACACTTCTGGTCCCAAATATTTCAGATAAGGAATACCCAATCTGTGGTATGTCTTTTCTAAACACATAATTCATACCTATGTCTCAGAAAGATTCTTTAAAAAAATGTTGTTTTTATGAACTATGAGTAGGCAGCTTGTTGTTGATGAGGGTGATAAAATTTTTCTACCAAAAGTCAGAATTCCACACATTCAAAATATTCACAAAAGAAAACTAATGTCTGAAGTTCCCTTTTTATAGACAAGTCTTTTTTATACCATTGCTGAGGCTGTTAAATTTTCCCCCCCTAGAGTTCTACTTAATTTTTATTTTTCCTCTCAACTATGTATCATTAAACTTTCTCATAATACAGAAAAGTTGAACAAGTAGCATAATAAACAACTCTACACTCTCCACCGAGATTCAACAAATGTTAGTATTCTGTAGTGCCTGCTTTTTAAAATTATATACTACCTTACTTACAAGGCATTTAAACTTACAACTGAGGTTTTAGCACTGACATGGAATTCTGGCAAATAATTTAAGTCTTTTTGGGCCAGTCTGTGTCCTGGTGGTTCGTCAGCTTGAAAAACACACCGGGTACATGTGCATGGATGCCCAAAATCCCGAAAGGAGGGAAAAATGGAGGAGAGAAGGGAATGTAATGCTACCATCCTCTATGGGCAGTGTTTTAACTCTTCCCCCACCCACCAAGTGTACGTGTTCTCTGGTAAATAAAAATATTGGAAAAAAAAAAAAAAAAGAATGAAGTCTTCTCATAATATTTTTAGAGTGAGACTTTAAATATCAAATAATAAAAATATATATGGCCCAGTATAAACATGGGCAAAAAATACATTTAAAACAATTTAAAAACTGGAGACCAGTGGGATCAGCAGTTGGCATGATGGCTATGTCACTGGACTCCCATGTAGTCAACCACAGTTCGAGTCCTGGACCCAGTGGCTTAAACTCATGCTAGGCGTATGTGTGTGTGGGTGTGTGTGTGTGTGTGTGTGCGCCCAAGATCCCAAGAGGAGAATGGAGGAGAAAGGATTGCGGCGTGGCCATCCCCCCCGGCGTGTGATTTCTTGCTTTCTATCTCTCTGTCTCTCTCTGTCTTTCTGGCGAGCGCATGCGCCCTATAGCGAAAACCTCTCCAGAAAAAAAAAAAATTAAATAAATAAAAAATAAGAGAAGTCATACCTTCAACAGCGTGCGGATATCCTCTTTACTGGGGTGCCCGTCTACCCGAGTGACCCTGTACTCCAGCCACTGCTGAACTATCGCCTTTTCCTCGGCAGTACTCCCCAGCAAATACTCTTTGTTGGCTTGCTTGACCAGGTGTGCGGCTATCGTAGTCAATCCGGTGAGACTCGGGCCATTGTTTGTTTGAAGAACTGGAGTCTGAAAAAAAGAAAAAGGTCCATGATGACTGCAAGTTCTAAATCATCGATGAAATCATTTGACCGTGTTTGCAAATACTCCAGGACTTTAAGTTACTAAATTATATATGCAGATGAAAAGTAGGAAGACAGCAGTGATGTACTTTGTAATTGGATAAAAGATGTTCAGTGATGAAACTGGTAATAACACTGCAAAAATCAGGATAATGTTACTATTAAGTATCAGAGCGTTATCACGGATCTCTTCTGTTTTTCCAAGGTCATTTATGTATATAAAGAACAAAGATGAATCAATGACATATTGTCTGCTCTATTCGATAACCGTTTGCCATCTTTTAGTGAGCTTCAAAATTCCTCACACAGAAAGACCTGTCTTTATCAGCGACACACTGAACAAGATGCCGATGTACACCCTCATTTGAATTGAGCGTTATATCATGCAAGGAGTTTTGAAGAGAGAGAAACAAGTGGGAATCTGACAGCGTGAGGTTAGGTGAGTGTGGTGGGCGTGGCAACACATCCCATCCAAGCGTCAATCATTTTTGACAGGTGATCAAACTTGTGTGTGGTCTTGGGGTGCTGTGATGGAACACAACTCCTTTACGATCAACAAGCTCTGGGTGTTTCTAGATGATGGATTCATTCAAACTGTCCCACTGCTGACACATTCAAATGGGTTGCTTGGCTCCCTGGTAGAAGCTCAAAAAACACACCTTTAAAATCCCACCACACTGAGGGCATAACTTTCCTCTGAGGAATGTCTGCTTTAGATGCTGTCTGAGACGAATCATCACATTGGGACCAAGGCTGTGTGCACCACAGCGTCGTAAATTATCCACTTATCAGCAGTTATCAGTTGCATCAAAAAAGGATCGTTTTCCGACACCAGCAGTTAGCGTAATGGCTATGTTGCTGAACTCCCATGTAGTCGACTGCGGTTCAAGTCGCGGACCCGGTGGCTTAAACTCATGCTGGGCACGTTGTGCGTGCGTGCCTAAGATCCCAAGAGGAGAATGGAGGAGAAGGGATTGCGGCATGGCCATCCCCCTGGGGGGTGATTTCTCACTTTCTGTCTCTCTGTCTCTCTCTGTCTTAGTGCACACGCCCTATAGCAAAAAAACCTCTCCAAAAAAAAAACCAAACAAAAAAAACCTTAAAAAAAAGGATCGTTTTCCTCACATTTAAACATTTAAAGAGCATGTTACAGATGTTTGTAAGTACCACCAAATGAAATTCTTTGAGCTCATGAGGAACTCAAATATTGAGCTTCCTTACAGATCCCACCTTCTCCAGAAGGTGAACATTTGAATGATAGATGTTCAATGCTTCTGCAATCTCTCGTGTCATGCAACGTGGGTTTGATTTGATCGATGTCTTTATTTTGTTGTCATCAATGTCGGTGGGCCTCCCTGACTGAGGAGCATCGCTGAGATCAAAATCACCAGCACAGAATTTCATGAACCATCACGGGCACTTACGTTTTCATAGAGCACTGTCACCGTAAACTTTACACAACCTTTCATACGCTTGATGCGTGTCCCTCCCTTTATGGAAGTAAAACAGTAAAATAGGATGAAAAAGGTAGTGTGGTCTTCTACCTTCTACTTGTAAAATTCTCAAAGCAAATTGCTCTTTTTTTTTTTTAGAATGAAGCTATGACTGTCAGCTGTCAAATGACATAACAATAACACAGATGCAAATGACTCCAATATTTCCAAAAATGAACTAGCACCATTTGGTGCAAGAATGCATCAAGACTTTTTCGACATCCCATTACATAATTTTTTAATTGTATATGTACAATAGGAGAAAATGAAAGTCCACTGTACTGACACCCTATTTTAGCAAGGTGAACATACTTAACTAAACCTGTCTCCCCTCCCATTACCATAGCTCTTAACAGCTGTATTAGTAATAGCCCGGCGTGTCGATGTATCATGACTTGATGAACCATTCTCCTAGAATGGGATCTCTAGACTGTTTCCAATCTTTCATTATTACTGATTATGTTACAGAGAAAGTCTTATTGCTAATTGACTGTTATTTGTTATCCCCCCAAATAGCCGAATCTCATCACAATATCCCTGTCTCTCCCTATACACATAAATAGGAACTTTCCATAGCTGCTCACTGCTAAAATGTATTTTTAAAAAACATTTGCCAGAGGAGAGAAAAACAAATTGCTCTCTGGAGAAAAAAGAGAGGAAAGACAGAGAAGTTACTCCCATGGGGAATGGTCATGCTCCAAGCTGTTCTTCATCTCTCCCTCCTTTGGGGATTCTGGGCATGCCCTCATGCACCAAGTGTTTGTTAAGCTACTGGGTCCAACAACCGAACTGTGTGCACTCGGCCATGTGGGATATAGGCAACTCAACCACACCACAGGCTGGCCCTAAAATACCTTAATTAAGATGGGGGGCAACAGGTGGAGTGATTAAGGCACTGGAGTGCCCTATAGCAAATTTTAAAAAAATAATAAATAATTGTAAAAAAAAAAAAAAATCAATTCCCAATTCTTAAAACAAAATAAACCATTATCAACTCCAAAGCCTTCACAGTAGGCCTCAAACTATAATTTTGTGTTTACCTTGCGTTCATTCCTCATATTGGTTTACTTATTGCCCCAAACATGCTAATCTTTGATCACTTATTGGTTATACACAATTTTCCAAGCCTAATCCTTTAAATAGTAGCTTTCTGTGAAGTTTAAAAATCCATTTTACAATCGGAACTAACTTCCTCTTTTGCACTCCTCACCATTTTCCTCCATTAATAAAGAGCTTGATGTGCTTTAAATGCATTGTTGATGACTGTTTCTCACAAAAGGTATAGGCCATCTGAAGACAAACCTCATATCTTGGCAATGTTGCTTCAAAAACGTAAGCCACACTAGGGAGTAGTGGCTGAGGAAAGCAGCAGTCACCATGAAGGCAGAAGAAAAATGCAATGGCAGGCCACCTGCAGTGCCTGTTCTGGTATCAGAGGGCTGAGTTTAAGCAAACTGCTTAACATTTCCAGGCTTCGGATTCCTGTGCAAAACTACAATATTACTACTTTCAAAGCAAGATGCTAACCTGGATCGAATGAAAAACTAGCAAAAATTAAGAACAAAAACAAACTTCATTTGTAAAAAAAAAACTCAAAGGGCAAAAAACAAAGTACATATCCAAACCAGTATTCTTGCAACCATTTTCCTCCCGGAACACATTTCTCCACCTCAAACAAGGACGTTAATAAAACACAAAGGTTTTTCAGTGCTCTGGACACCTGGGCCTTTAAACCTCGCCAGTCAACATCATATCGTGTTAACTTTCCTATGCTTTGTACGTCGCACACTGACCTTGGTAGATCCCAGGAAAGCCTTTCTTGAATCCCCCAACTTGGCCAACGCCCATTATGAATTCTCTGTCATTCACCTTCCGCGTAGCACTTTTCATTAAAAGCAACCACCCTGGGCAGAGGAGCAAGTCCGTTTGCTGCAGACCCTGCACAGGGCCACCTGTCCGCTCTAAGCTCTCTTGGACAAGTTGTGTAATAAATGAATGAAAAGTAAAATTATGGCAAACGGGTCACCAACTCCAAACATCGGGCCTCGCGGTTGGTCTATCTAGGGGCTCTTTCAGACCCCTCCTGCACCTGCTTTCAACCCCAGAATGCGAGGATGACAATTTCCCAGGAGGTAAAGTTTAGGCCGAGCTCGATCTAAGCGAGCTCCCCCCGGTCTCCAAAAGCCAGGGCTGCAGGCGCCGAGGCCTGGGGCACCAGCCGGCTGCGCGCACCGACACGTGGAGAGCTGGACACCCGCATCCTCACACGCCCTCGGCCCGCCTGCCCGGTCCTGGCCGGCCTCAGCAGGCCCGGCTCCGGTCCACTTCGTCCCCTCTGCGCCGCCTAGGCTGTGCCTCTCCCCTGCCGCTCGCCCTGCGCGCTGTATTTATTTCCCTTACTCAGCCCCAGCCTCCAGCAGCGTCACCCCCGCGGCCGCCGCCATCTTCCAGCTGGAGCTTTTGGCAGGGGCGGGACGCGGGCAGCAAGGGCCTCCTGCATTGGCTGAGAGGGAAAGCCCCACCCCCTGGAACGTCACCGGCGATTGGCTGAGCGAGGGGGGCGTGGAGGGCGAGTCTAAGTCCAGGAGGCGGGATCAGAGAGAGGGGCGTGGCCGAGGGAGGGCGTGGCCGAGGGAGGGGCGTGAACCAGGTAGAGGAGCTGGCAAGTTTGCACTCTGGAACTGTGCAGGACTTACAATGGAGCGAAGAGCTGAGCAGTTTAGGTGGTCGCAGTAGACTGCCTCTCGCAACTTCTAAAGGGCAGACTGTTGGCCTGGTTGCCAGAGTTAACTCAGAAATTCATTTGGCAGTCTACAAGTTTATTCAATATTTTACGGAAACTGAAATGCACCTTAGTTTGGCTCAGGAATCTGTGAATTTGATCAATCACCTTGAACAGCAGAGTTCACCGCCTATTAGGAGTCTCTAACATAGGATAATGAACAGCAGAGTTCATAATCCATTAGGAGATTTTTACTGTTATAATGATGAATTGGAAAAAAAGACTTTTTCTACTGTCAATCTATAGCTCAAAAGTAGCAGAATTGTGAATTTTAAGATTACTCATAGAACACTGAGTATGTTAGCGAACAAATAATAAAGCCCAAGAGAATCAACCATTAATGATTTTAATACTCTTTATTTGTAATACAAGAAACAAAAACAGAGGTACAATTTAGGTAGATTTTGGTTTCTAAATAAACGACACACATAACTTTCACCCTCTAAAATGCTATATTCCTGAATCGTCAAAGCAAAGTGTTGGTAGTATCCGTTGAAGTCTTCAGTTTTCCACAAGATTGATGAAAATAAAATATTTTTACATTAAATGGTGAATAAACACAATCTGTATTATCTGAGAAAATAGAAAAGAAATACTACAAGGTAGTTCATAACTGAATCAGACATATAAAAGGTTAGTGGGGAATTCTATTATTCTGCTAACCTGAGGACACTTATGAGTTAATTCTGATGAAAGAAATAAACATAAAGAAAGTTTTGCCAAATCAACGCAAAATGCAAAGGAAATTTCAATGGAAGAGAATCATTGTGTATTAATTTTCTTTCTTTCTTTTTTTTTTTTTTAATTTGCTGTAGGACACATATGCTCACAGGGCAGAGAAGGAAAGAGGAAGGAAAAGTGAAGAAATCACCCTCCAAGGAAATGGCCTCACCACAGTCCCTTCTAATCCATTCTCCTCCTGTAACTTTTGGCACACACACATGCACCTGGCATGTTTTTCAAGCCATCGAATCCAGGACTCCAACTGTGTTGTCAGTCATGGGGATCCAGCCGCCTTCACCACCATGCCATTGGCTGGTCCCAATCACCTTTTTAACTTTCCATATATAGATACATTATTGACTATTTTACTACTTAAAAAGAGGTCAGTCCTCTGGAAGAATTCAGTATCTATTTTCAATGTTTAGGGGCACTTTTTGCTTGTAAAAAGTTTAAGAAAATATTCAGTTACCAAATTTCAGTGGGTGGTATATCTAAAATAACACTTGATTTAAATGGTAGAGCAGAGACTTGAGTCCCAGTCTAATATATCTGAAAGGTATTCACCCAAATGATAACAGTAAGGTGGATAAATGTCCGGAGTATTGCTTTCTACTTTATGCATTTTATTGTGAATCGTTGCTTATAAATTCTGTAATAAAAAATAAAGTTTGTAATTATAAGCTACCTTCATCCTTTTGAGTTCTAATATTTTTTTTTTGAGAGGTTTTTGCTATAGGGCGCGTGAGCTCACCAGACAGACAGAGAGACAGAAAGTGAGAAATCACCCCCCAGGGGGGATGGCCATGTCATAATCCCTTCTCCATTCTCCTCTCGAGATCTTGAGCATGCACGCACACACACCTGGCGTGAGTTTTAAGCCACCTGGTCCAGACTCGAACCGCGGTCTACTTCATGGGAGTCTAGCGACATAGCCATTACACCAACTGTTGGTCCTGAGTTCTAAAAATTTTTTTAAGATTTTTTTTTCCTATAGGGCAGGTGTGCTCACCAGAGAGACAGAGAGACGGAAAGCAAGAAATCACCTGCCACAACCCCTTCTCCTCCATTCTCCTCTTGGGACTTTGGGCACACATGCACAAGTGCCTGACGTGAGTTTAAGCCACCGGGTCTGGGACTCGAACCGTGGTAGACTACATGAGAGTCTAGCAACATAGTCATTACGCTAACTGCTGGTCCCTATAGCTGAATTTTAAAAGGCAGATGTTCTCAATAAAGGAAAATATTGATAAGCCCTATGTTGTTTCACACTGTTGTTTATAAAACGTAACTAGCTTTTTTGTTTTACTTTCACCATGATTTAAAATAATAATAAAAATGGCTAGTTGAGGAATTAACCTGTTCTTTGTTTCTCCTCCCTAAATGGACTGGAGGTTATTCTGAAATGTTAGGAGTCCCAGCCTCAGTGATACAGGCTATGGTATATACTGAACAGCAGTGCCAAGACCACAGGGCCAACCAAGAGTTTGGATCTTGAGTCTGTCTGAAAGCATGCCAGGTCTATACACACCTAAGATCCCGACAAGCTAGAAGGAGGAAATCACAGCGTAAGACACCCTATTCAGGGCGCCCATCCAAACAATGATATGCTGAAGTCTTCATAGTTTTCTTTTTCTTTCTTTATTTCTTTTTTTTTTTTTTAAAGAAGGCCTGTGTTTTCATTTTGCATGCAACCCCACCCCACAAATCACATAGCCAGCCCTGCACGTAGTGTATTACCTTTGCTGAGGTTTTTTTTTTTTTTTTTTTTTTTTGGGGGTTTTTTTTTTAGGGGGCCGTCGACT